AAAAATATTGTTGTCTGTCTGTTGTCTGTCCTGGTACAACTTGATGGCTGTGGACCCTATTTTCCCTGTAGCAGCACTCTCTAGTAAAATAGAGAAGGAAAGATATTAACAGCAAACAGTATGTTACAATTCTTGACATACTTTATTGAGCCTGCTATGGTTAGAAAAAAAGGCAAGTAAAAACACTTGAAAATAATTCAGACATCCTCTGATACTTGAGTAGGCAGCAAAACTCACTTAATCAAAACATCTACTTGTTTCAAGAGCTTTGTGAAAGATTTTTTAAGGCTCTATTCCAGCCAGAGTGGTGTGTGAGACCTTCCAAGGTTCAACTCAAGATCTTACCCTAATGGTTTTCAGTCTCCAAGAATTTATGGAGTCTCTTGTGTAAGACCAGTTTCTGACAACACAGATCTGTCTTATATTAAACAAAACCACCTACTCCCTTGAAATAGTTAAGCCTGTGCTTGAGCCTTTCACTGACCTTATGAAGGGACGGGTACATATAAACTGATAGGTTTATACTGTAGATATAAACACTATGTAGCATCTAAAATCATAAATTATCTCACTTCTTTTTCTTTTAGTCCTAATCCTGGCTAGTTGATATGTTAACAGTTCTTTTTCTGTGGTACACCGTGCTTTCCTCCCTACTGTGTATTGAAGAAACAGGGAATCTTTTTTTAGTCTGGTCTTGTTTACCACAAGGCAGCTGTTGCATTCAGCTGTTGCTGGGCTTTTTTCATTAAAATAGTTTCTCACTCTCTCAAATCCTCTGACATACTAAAGACATTGACATCTTACTGCATCCTTGTATGTAAACTTACAGGGTGAATTCTGGTTGCATGGGGAAAAAAATCCAACTGCAGTTTCTCTTTCTGTGAGGGGAAAGAGCTGTTCCTTGTTCTTCAGATGCCGCAAGCCTGTGCGTGCTTAAAAATTATTGCCTTCTCTCGTGAGAAGAATGGTGTAGAAGCTGTAGCTGTTTGTCTCCTAACAGACTAATGTGCATTAGGAAGTTCTAGGTGTTGGTTTGTGTTTGGCTTGATTTTACCCAAGAGTCAAGTCACAAGAATACTCAGCACTTCAATTCCCTGCTTTGTCTCTGGAAAATAAACATTCTTGTCATAGCAGAAATAACGTGGTATACTAAAAAAAAAAAATAAAATCACAACAGCCCAGTCTTAGTTTGAATGGTTATAACTACATCTCCTTTTTCTGTATGTAATTCAGACACTCTAAATGGAAAAACTTTTCCTAATATATTTCAGTTGCATCTCTGTTCACCAGTCCTGCTTGGCTCAGAGTGAGTGATGAGAAGGTCATGTTCTGTGTTTGGTAAAGTTTCACTGTTTGTCCCGTTGTTCTACATGTAATTTTGTGGGTTTAGGGAAATAATTTTAGGTCATCAGCAGTTGTTTTTCTGATTACAGAAATAATCTTTATCCACTAATTACATATTTATACTGAGAAACAAGTCAGAAAACACTTAAGAATAGAACTACGCTAGAAAAGAGAACTTTTGCAGCAGGAAGAAATCATACATGTGTGCAACAGTCCTCCCCCCCATCTTGGCAAGTTCAGATTAGCGGACACAATTACTTATAGGTGTGTATATGAGATGTTGGTATCTAAGTCACCAAGCTGAGATAGGATGGGACCTCTGCAGGTCATCTAGTTGAGCCTCCTGCTCAAAGCAGGGTCACGTAGAGCAGGTTGCTCAGGGCTGTGTCTAGTCAGAGTTTGCATATCTACAAGGATGGACACTCTACAACCGCTCTGGGCAACCTGTGCTAGCATGTGGCCACCCTCACAATAAAAAAACCTTTTTCTTATGTTCAGACAGAGCCCCACAACTTTTAAAAAACTCCAAGCAACATTAACTTAATTCAACAGCAACTTGATCCTTGCTACCTTTTGATACAAATTGAAGAGCCATAAAACCTGATTCAGTTTATGTCTTAATTGCTGGAGGTTTGCAAGAGATGTGGTTACTGTTCGCCCACTGGCATGCTTCTTAATCTGGAAAAATTTCACCTGTGGTTAATAAACATTTGCCAGGATGGAGCCTACATTGTTTATTTTAATAATTTGAAATAATTATATATTTATATATTTATTTACATTTCACTTTTTTTTTTTTTTAACCTAATGTTTACTTGATCTTCATGTACTCAGCATCCAGGTCTGTTTGTTGAGGGAGCCAGAGGCAGAGGACACACAGAAGCGTGTGAATTTTTCTTTTCTAGGTACTTGCGTAAAAGGCCTGAAATGGTGCAGGTAGATGAAAAGAGAATGATGAAAACAAATCTTGATCAAGCTAAGAACAGTTCCAGGGAAATATGTATTTTTTTTTTTTTCTCATTTGTCATGGTATCTTGTCTTTACTAATGAAAAGAGATTAATATTTAACATACGTGACGGTCACAAGAAACTGAGGTTGTTATTTGCTGCTTCTGCTAGAGCAATACTACGTCAATTGCCTAATCAGAAGTAATAAAATGATACTAACAGACTGTGAATTTTTTTAGGTTAATAAGCAGGGACAGAGGAGTCAGTGTTTTTCGGTAAGTGTAGCGCGGAAGCCAGCTGTTACTTATAAATGACATAATTGAGGCCTTAGCATGTGTGAAAATAAATAAATAAATACTCCACTTCATTTTCATCAACAGGCCCACTAGGTCTCCTCAAACATGGAATTTATTAACTATTGCAAAGTCATTCTCTGAGATGTAGTGTCTTTCACCAACTGCTGTCTGTATGTAAAGTCCAGCCACTTCTGAATAGCAATTTTGGTGATTTCCAAGACTTTTGATAACAAAAAACATTGAAGAAATCGAATTCAATAACCGCACGATCCCAAATGGGCTTTAGCTCAGCTACAACCCTTGCAGCACCTGCACTGCTGGAAACTCTCCTTATAGTTGTCAGCACGGGTGATGCTGGTGGACCTTAACCCTGACTGAGATGATGACACCCTTTGCCTGGTGAGGGCTGACCTTCCTGGCTTTGACCATGTGAGTGTTTTCCAGGAAACAGCTTATTGTTTCGCTGTCGCCTCCACAGCCTCAACAAAATCAGAGATGGGATTGCAGGTCTCTGCATGTGTTCTGGACAACTCAGGAGTAAAATTGCCTATGGCTGGTGAGTCCAGACACTCCCACAAGAGTAAAATGTGTTTATTAGAGAATGCTAAAGCAGTTGCAGCTTGAAATGTGGGTAGAATAAAGTTTTATGTTTCACCATGATTAAAAATCGTTTCTTTGAAGGACTATTAGGTATATAAAACTGAGGTGAACCATGAGCTCACTGTGGAGCAAATGCATACCATTCGAGGTAAAAAAGATTCATTATACCCTTACGTTCTTCCTGTATATGATTAAAAAGTTGGGCACAACGCTGGCTGAGCCCAAGGTTTTCTGGCTGATTTGTGACATATCTGAGAACAGACTTCTGACGTCATGACCCTGCTTTTCTTACCTCTTCCCCATTGTCTTTGCTGGGTGATTAGCTGATGACTCATGCCTTGCGCTCAAGGATGAAGTAGTGCTTCCTGAGTCATCTTATTTATTTTGTAATGTTACTTATTGTCTTAAATCTTCTAGCTATATCTATGTATCCATCCATCCATGTCTATATATCTGTATTTTCTTCTCCATAAAAAGAATCCTACTGAGGACTTTATGAGCATCCAGAATAGTGAAATACAGTTTTCACTGTTCAGCCGCGTTTTTCCTCTTAAGTCCTTTACTGTTTCCTGTGTTGGTTTATGTACATTATTGCATTATGCTTAAGTGTTAGGTAACCATAGAAATGTCTGCAAAAGACAGAGGTCATGTCTCCAAAGCATTATTTAGGTTTGGAGATGCCTTTTCTCATAGGGAACATGGGTCTTCTGGGTTGCTGTTTGTGTGTTGCTCCTATACTTCCTTCTGTGCTATCCGCAACCATGTACTGGTAAGGAAGTAAGCTCCAATTGATGCTTGACAGAGGAAATTTATTTTGTCAGGAAACTGGCACACTTAGCATGGATTTTTCTCAAAGTAATTTTTGGGAATTACAAAGTTGGCAGAATTATCTGTTGTAATCATAGATGGAGGTCTCGTATTTGTTGTTATAGCAGCAGCAGCACATGCTGCAGAAGAACCTTAATTTCCTAGGCAAGTCAAAGCAGTGGGATGTACCCAAGCATCAGTCTCGCAGCAGCTTAGCAGATAGCACATGCATGTTCCTACCTTATAACTATATCAGAGACTGTGACCATTTACTGTTACTTAAAACATATCAGGTGGCAGTTTGGGTTTTGTTTGTAATTACAACATCTTTGGGCTGTAGCAGACTGCGCTCTCATACAGATGCCTGGCAAGTGGTACTGTATGTGGAAGTAATATTATTTGAGGGTGTCATCTAGGATGGTAGAATAAAAATGAACATCTAAAATAATGAGTATGTTTATTTAAAAAATACAGCTATTTACAGTTTAAAAAAATGCCATAACAACGTAATATGCTATTATGAAGGTGAAAGCAACTTTGCAAGAGACTCATTGATCTACATGGCATGAATGCCTGAGTAAGAGAAGGGGTGAAAAATAAGAGATAAAATAACTTTCTCAATTAATGAGTCTGTGGCTTCTCTTGTGCTTTCTGAAGTATTTTTGTCTTTTGTTTCGAATTTGAATTTGTCACATTATACTGCTTCCTTCAGGTGCAAAAGTTTTATTGAAAACAGAGCATTACAAGCGATGAAGCTCTCTTGACAAAGCGTTGATAGTGAACTCCTGGCCGGGAGACAAATGAGCAATTCATCTAGTCAGTGTTTAACTTTTATAATGTGTCTATTGGACAAATACAAGATCACTTCAACTGGTCTTTCAGAAAACAAAGCCAAACTAGCCATTCCAGGAATATAACAGCAGGGTGCACCTCTTAGTTTTGCAACTTGTTGTCATAAAGCACTATATTCTAATGTTTTGTGTTTTTTTTTTTCCTCTCCTGTAGGTGCCTGAGATTATAAGCTCTATTCGACAAGCTGGAAAAATTGCTCGTCAAGAAGAGTTTCAGAATAATCTCTCAGATGTTGAAGACCCTTTTGCCAAAAAGTTTGAGGTGCTGTTCTGTGGACGGGTGACAGTAGCACATAAAAATGCACCTCCAGCACTCATAGATGAATGCATTGAGAAATTTAATCGTGCAAGCTGTACGCAAAAATCAGATTTCAACTCATTGTCCCAACAACATGAAACTGCCAATAGCTTTGGAGGCTTCTCTTTCAGCAACAAATTTCGGTCTGTCTTCCAGCCCTTGGTCAGTGAAGAGGAGGAGAAAAGGCCAATTAGGAAATCCTTTTCTCAGCCTGGGCTTCGCTCCTTTGCTTTCAAGAAGGATTTGCAAGAGGGAAGCCACAGAAGTAACAGCTTTGTCAGGTCTTTTGAAGAAGATGCAATTTCACTGAATCTAAGAAGTCAACTTATCTATGGACACAGTGTTGTGCAGCCAACAGACATTGCAGAAAACCGGACGATGTTGTTTACGGTAAAGCAAGATTCGCAGCTCTCGGTGGCATTTTCACATCTTGGAGTTTGGAGTGACAAACACCAAAGCAGATGTTCTGACAGATGGCAGTTACTTCTTTAATAACTTAATTGCAATTACCAAGGCTTAGCTTAAACTTGCTTGTTTCTCTAGAAAGCATTACGAGTCAGTGTAAATTGTTTTACGTAGTCAAAATAAGTTCATATTAAATAATTTAAAACAGCACTACCTGAAAAAATGGGCTTCTAAAGACAGATTTTAAAAAGCTACAGCAAGTTAGTAGGTAGTTATACAATTGCAAAATGGTACATACAATTACACTAACTAGTAACAGCAGAAATAAATTTCCAGGTGAATGAGTTAACTGTAACTAGAGCAGAAGGACCAAACCATGGCTGGGGGCTAGTAGGCTTTATGTCCTATGATAAGCAGGATAATTCATGAAGGTGTTCCTGCTGCCAACATGTCTGTGTAATGACGGAGTACTGTAGTAATTTTCTAGGCTACTCCACACCTGCCTCTGCTCCTGTCCTGCTTTTGTCTGGCTAGTAATGCCCTTGCCTTGATAGATGAGCAGCAAAAGTATTTTTCAAGACCCAAGAAACAGGTAGGGAATGTGTCGTTTGCTCATCTTATAATCCTCATGATAGATATGTTATAAAACATATTTTATATCTCTGGTATCTTACGAACATAATGCAAACCTGGCGCTGATATTGTGATGGCTGTTTATCGTTAAGTTCGTCTCGGATCTGTCAGCTGCTGTTGGGACTGGGAGTTTTTAAGGACAGTAACAGAGTAGAGTGGGTTCAATTGCCGCAGGTTTCTTGGGAGTGGGGGGAAGAGAAGTGCTGCTTTAAGAAGGATTGCCAGAGTGCTATGTCTGTAAAAAGTAACACACAGAAAGAGGTGTAGTTGGCAACAGTTCTCAAAGACACGTGCAGCTTCAGCCTGAATATAATCTCAGTCACCTGCTGACAGGCTCGTTTCCAAGTTGTGAGGCTCTGCTGATCCGGCTTTCTATCTTGTGTTGCTTTTTGCCTGGGAAAATACTGTTTAGTATGCACAGTTGTATTTTGCCATTCAGCCAGTCTAAATTCAGCTGAATATAAGGAAGTGAGGTAACTGTGGTTCGTGCCTCTGGAATCCACAAGCTAGCGGTTGGTGGCAGAGCCGAGTTTGTTGGTTAGCTGTCTCCCGTGTTCAGTAGGTTCTGAGGAGCGGTATGCATACAGCGTGTGCAGGTTTTCACCTTCGCTCATCAGTTTGTGTGTGGCTACATATGAAATGTTTAAAAGTGGCTTTAGATATAGAGAAAAAAAAAATCTGTTTGTATTTTCTCAGTTGAAGTTCTTGGATTTTCCCCTGGACTGCAGCAGAGGTTGGTGTGTGAGGTGTGAAATATGTTCAGATGAGTCATCTGGTGACTCTTCTGACCTGGTTCAGACAGTCGTGATTTTGGTATCTCTTCCTGAAGAACTGCTTTCCTAGCCAATTTCTTAGGATTTTATGAGGTTTTGTTTTGGTTTGTTTTTAGGCTTTTCTCTTGGCCGTATTTTGGGGTGGGAGGTGTATTGTTGTTGTTTTTTTTCTCCTCTTGTTCAGTTGGCTTCAAATGATCCCATCTGCCCTGGGACCATATGTGAAAGGAGCATGTGGGGCTGAGCTAAGAAGGAGCCTCTCACTGCAGGGAGAGGAAGGCAGCAGCGAGCAGGAGGAGGCTGCTGAGTAGGTGTTGGAAGGAATAACCCCATGAACACCTGCAAGGTCAGCCCTGGAGACAATACGGAGAAACTAGCAGGGAGTTGGGGATAATCGTTGTGACTGGTTGAAGTGAAAGAAGAGGTGGAAGATGAATGCACAGGACCATTTTTAGACACACATGTGGCCCATCTCACTTGATCCATTTACACACAGGATTCCTCCCTTCCCCTCTTCCTTAAGAAATTGCAGGTATATTTATTCTGCTGATCTTTTTATGTGCATCTTTTGGGATTCAGTAGTGGTTGAAGCTTCAGCAGGTTTGTCTAAGTCATGCCTGTGAATGGATTCAGATTCCACCAGTCTTCCCTAAAATCTGATGTGAGACTTGTCCTTAGCAGACTTTCTGATGTGCTATTAACTATGAGAAATTTAAATTTTTATCTGTAAAATGTTCCAAAGACATTGCCAGAAGCTGAAAAATTGAAAACAATCATTTCACCTTAAAAATGCCCTTTGCCCATCAAAAGTTAGCATCAGCTTTTGGAACACTGCTGTACAAATGACCTACAGATTAAATTAAGTTAGAAAATGTACCCCAATAAGCTAATTTTTATAGTTTGAGTTAAAACCTTTAAATTAAATGCTATGTGTGTCTTAAATAAATAATTAAAGCCCTAAAAATAATTAGATGGAATACAAGTAGAGGTACACACTTAGGTTAAATTTTAGGACAATTTCTTTAAGTAGCTTTTGGCAATGTGGTATGTGCCAAACCTGCAGAAAATAAGAAAAGGGAGTGTGAGAATGTTTTCTCAGTGCAAAGCAAGCTACTTGTGGTGTAATATTACTCTCAGCTAATTAAACACTATTCTCAGTCTCATGTCTCGAATGTGAAACTAAATCTCAGTGCAGTAATGTGCAGAGCTCTGAATGCCAAAATAATGTGGTTCAGTATTTCGTCTTTCTCTTGTAATAATACACAAATTGGTCTAAATATGCAAGTAGGAAAAAATTTGAGATTTACGTCCATGAAATATTTTTATAGTGAGACAAAAGGAAGCATAATGTTACTGTTATCATCTTGCTATTTGTTTTGCTTTTTTCAGATTGGCCAGTCTGAAGTTTACCTTATCAGTCCTGACACAAAAAAAGTAGCAATTGAAAAAAGCTTTAAAGAAATATCCTTTTGTTCTCAGGTAAGACTGCAGTGTATTCTTTCTCTCTTTTTTTTGTTTAAATATTCTCCACTTGTGAATGCTCATGTACTCCTCTCTCCTAGCATTTCAAATGGATTCTCACCCTAACGGTTTCAGTTAATTGCTATTGACAAGTTGCTGGTTAATAAGTAATTTTGTGGAACTGTCATACTTTTCTCATGCTTAGCGTTGTAATTTCTGAGATAAAGACCCACTTCTGTGTGTGGTGGATGAATAATATGAGCTAGAAGGAACACCCTGGTCAGCTCTGGTTTGAGATTTCAGTGGGCGTGATTCGCAGTTGTGCAAACCTGGGGTTCTTGAGCCATATTATTCAAGAAGTGATAATGAAAGCATATAAATGAGATGCAAGAGTTCTCTGAAAAATACTTCAAAAATATTTTTTTCAAGAATATAAATTGCATATGCGTAAAAGAAGAGCACCCTTTGCTATGCAGAGGTAGTGTGTGTGATGCACTGAAGGCAAGCATATTTCCAAGCCTCCTCATTCACTGTTAATCCCTGTTCCTTATCCCACAGAGTTTGTTTCCCTGTCTTTCACTCATTTTTGTGGATCTGACTTTGTTTTTTGTGTGGATTATGCGAGGGTGTGATTTATCTAATGACTTATTTTGAGCGGTGATGTGTTGAAAGAGATGCAGCTTACACACGTGAAGATGCGGCAATGGTGTTGTGTAGGTTACGCGCGTGCATGATTCACGCTCAGCTGCTGCGGAATAGTCACCGTCACATCAAGGACATGGGACAACTGGGGCGGTTACAGCGCTCCTGTATGGGCAGCTGCAGTAACTGCTGGTGGGTCCTGTGTACAGGAGCAGAGGACTCTCCTTGAGAGCTGCTGCAGGCTGAAACAACTGTTCATAAAGATATGTCATAGACCAGTTGCTTTTGTTAACTCACCAGTGTCACGATGCAGGGATTTATCTTTCACTAGTCATTTTCTGTCCTGCAGGGCATTACTTGTATTTAGTTTGTTTGTGTACCAGATTTGATTCAGTTTGATTGAATGGGGAAATTGAATTTAATTCACTAAACTAGGATAGAGTTCTTAGAGAACACTTAATTCCTTGAAAACCTGTTATAGATCATTTTAATTTAAACCTCTGAGGAATTAACCTGGACTATAATTATGTAAATAAACTTACATTTATTGAGGAATGGGTGTTCCAGCTAGCTTGACTGAAAATTCACCTTGAATTATACCAATGCAATGCTTGTTTGTACTGTGGAGCTTGGATTTGAATGAGACCTTGCATACCAGGATGTGAATTTTGCCACTCTTGCACTAGGAACTATTTTGCACTTGGCTTACTTGCATAGGGCAGGTCTTCTCAATCCATCACAGACCCTGGTCTTAATGATATTGGGGCAAAACTTTTTTTTTTCCGCAGCAGGTTTATTTACCCATTTTTAAATATAAAGTATATGATTTGCTGTCACTTGCTCTAGCTTTTTTGGGATTGTTTGTTTTTTTGTGTTTTTTTTTTTTCCATAAATGACTTTGTAATTTAATTTGCTTTCATCACTAAACATTCAAGTACCTATTCTGAAAATTTCAGAGTAAACTTAAGTAGTTTACATGCTGTCAGATCAGAAGCTTTGAAGAGAACTCCTTGATCACAGAAAAATCTTTATCCCCATGTTTCCTTAGGCTGTCTCCTTAGGCAGGAGTGAGTTGGGTAGACTTTGTGACTTGCCCTGAAGGTCAGCAGATGGTTGCGCTCCTCAGAGCAGTAGGAGTGAGATTCTGATTGATTTTTCCCCTCCTGTCTGTAGAATGTGCTACTGGGCAGATGTGTCAGTTGGGCAAATATTGGTATTGGACTACAGAGAGCTTTTCCCCCCAAGTATGCACATTTCAGAAGACTTGATGGAATGATCTTATGGACTCCTCTTGATCATACTAGAACTTTGATAATCTTTTCTTGAAGGCACTGGAGTTAAATTAGAAGGGAGATAATAATCAGTACTTAATTTCCAGAATGTCTAATCTGTCAGTGAGATATTATAATGGCGGAAAGAAGTATGTGGTCCTGGTACAGCATCTGAATTAGCTAATCTGAAACAGCTAAGAGCGTTTGCCAGCTCATGGTACCTCACAGTTTTGTAGGCAGAGCCACGATCTCACCATAGCAGTTGGGTTTTCAGGAGAGGAAGTGGGCTTTCAGAAGAAAAACCATGGGCTGGGGAGTTAGAGAGGGGGCTCCGCATGTTCTGTACACATCTGTGATGTGGATGATGGAGGGAGAGACTCTATAGGTTGCATCAGCCTGTTCTTGCTTTATCACATAGCTGCCTTCTAAAATGCTTTTTAAAAATGTTTTCTTCATGATAAAAAAAAAAAGAGAATATTCAGTGATTCTTCCCATGTTAATGAGGAAAACAAAATAAAATAAAACAAAACAAACAAAAAACAACAACAAAAGTATCCTGGTTGGCATGTTCAGATTGTTTAAATTTCACTGAAATTTCTGATTTACTGAGATTCACCATTATGATTTTTGATACAAGTTTGTCTCTCTTTACCTGACTTTAATGTTGTTGTGCCATGACAACTAGAAGGTAGTAAAATAGTGCTGAGTGTAATTGAATTTCTATAAACAGGCTCTACCACTGTGCATGTAATTCATCATCATAAGTTGTTTTCTTTTTTTACTAAGAATAGTGCACTGAGGAGACGTGCACTGGGATCATCTAACTCTACTCGTCTGAAAGTCTTTTCATAAAAGAAAAAAATTCCCAGCAATTAAAAAACCTTCTTAGCATTTTACCAGGATGTGCTGTTTATCTACTGTTGCAAGTAGATTGTGTCTGAATTTGCATGCCTTTTAGGAGAAATAAATACTTCCGTGAGTAATCTTTAGAATCATAGAATGATATGAGTTGAAAGAGACTTTAAAGATCATGTAGTTCTAACCCCCCTACTATGGGCAGGGACATTTAAGTAATGTATTTAACCATTTTCATTTTTTAACTAGCCAAGCTTTTCTTTAGATGAAAAAAAAATTGTTTATCCATTTTTCACTATTGCTTTGATTTGCTCTTACAAATGTAAAGCAATTGTTGTTTGCTTAAGCAGAAGAGAAGAAAAACAGCGAGCTTTTTTCCCCTGCTATTTCCAATAGTGAGTAAAATACATCTTGAACAGTATTTCTTCGTCCCTATAAGTGTTTTCCAATGGATCTATTGTAATTCGATCATTAAAAAAAACCCCACAAAACCAACAACCAACCACTGCCTTCAACTAAATTTAAAAGATTTGTGAAGTAATATGTTCGATAAGAAAATAGATTTTTAATGGGCAGATAACTTCAGTGTAGCTGAACAGAGATATGTGACCTATCTGTAATGCTGTTGGGCCTTTCATGCTTTTGTCACTGGAAAAAATGCAAGTACAAAACATTGGAAGTAAACATGACTGCTTCATTACTGTTGTTTTTGTGCTAGGGAATTAGACATGTGGATCACTTTGGGTTCATCTGCAGAGAATCTTCAGAAAATGGAGGCTTCCACTTTGTTTGCTACGTGTTTCAGTGTACAGATGAAGCACTGGTAAGTGAAAGAAGAGATGAGCCTGACAGAATATTAGGGCCTTAAAGTCTTCTATTGCTCCATGCTCTGTATTTTGCTGAATGTCTTCAAATCCTGCTCCACTGAGAAAATTATTTCCAAAACGTAACTAACGTAGTCTACAAAGGAACTTTTAATTTGTTTTGAAAGCAGAAGTGAAAATCCCTTTAAAATCCAATAAAACTTCCTTTCATTGCACAAACTAAGACAGTATGCTGATTTTTTCGTAGTGTACCTGTTAAGAACTACAGGTTCACCACTGTGCTCTAGGTCAGGCCAGTGCATCACAACTGCAGTAAGCTTTTTTATCACAGACAAGAAAAGGTTTCCAGATAGAGGTAGTATCTTTTATTAGACCACAGTAATAAAATCGGATGGCCTGGAAGAGAGATGACTTCACGATGAGTTTGTCTGGCTTGTGTGATTGTGTGCAGAAACAGCTTTTCTTTTTAACCGTAAGTGCGTTCTCAACCAAGAGACAGTATCGTTCTAAAAGACTGTTGTCTTTGTGTTAAGGAAAACAGAAGCCCAGTGGAGGAGTGAAATTCTTTTCTTTTGCACTCTGTTCTTTTCAGGTTGATGAAATCATGATGACATTGAAACAGGCTTTCACTGTAGCTGCTGTGCAACAAACTGCCAAGGCACAGCCCCAGCTCTGTGAAGGATGTCCTATGCAAAACTTGCATAAACTCTGTGAAAAGATAGAAGGTGAGGTTTAAAGAACTTTCTGGTTGAATATTTTTTCTAACAATGTTATTGGAGGACAATCTTATATGTGAAATTCTAAGGGAATGAATACTTAAAAAGAGCTTGGGAATTGGGATGGAGGGTTGAAAGCCAGTCTTTTTAGTTAGAGGACTGCAATGTAAAGTTACCTGAAAGATAATAAGAATTTTATAACAAAAAATAAACTATTTTCTTGTATTTTATTTGGATTTTTTGAAAACTAACGAAGAGTCTAAATATTACTGAGTTGCAGCTATCTTGGCTCTATTAGTCATATAAATGCAGAAGACTGTAGTAAGGAACTTCTCAAGAATATAAGCTGCAATAGCTGTGACCTGCTGTCCTGTTAAATCCATTTAGATACTGGCATTACACTACCACTAAAATTGAACCAAACAGTGAGCTTTTAATATGCATGTTTGTGATGTTGATCTGTGCTCCTTCATGAAAATGTAGCAGCTAGAATTGTAGTTGTTGCCCATAAAACAAGTTCAAGACAAAAAAAAAAAACCAGAACCTCTTTGCATTTCAGCAAATTTCACAGTTAGGTTTTGTTCATTTAAGTGATGTCTGGGATGAATAAAGGGCAACAGCAGCTTGTCAGATCATGTGACAGTAGCTTGTTGGACTGAAACCTATCTAGTATTAATTTGATGAAACTGGAGAACTTCCAAAACTACTTTTCACTCTGTTTTGGTCTTCAGCTAGCGATGATTTTTGAGAAATTTCTTGAAGGCAAATGATTCTTAGTGCTTTTAGTCATGCCATGTGGTTAATCATATCATCTGCTTCTGATGGAGAAATGCCATGATCAGAGACTGAAGTACAAAATACTGTTGAAGGTTTTCTGTTTTTTCACAGAAAATAGAGGGAAGGAGTTTAATCCAGGATGAGAGCAGAAAAAAATAATCTGAATGAGAGAGTAGTCTGTGTTAGGCTGTCAGTAAACGTTTTCAGCAAGAGGCAAAGCAAGAACTTCACTAACATACAGTAAATTTACTCTTTTTCAAAAGAGGTCAAGGCATACAAATTGGAGAAAATGAGTGGAAATTACATTTATACCACAAGCAAAGTCCGAGCAGTACAGCATAAAACAACAACAAAGCAGTCTGCTAAAATGCAGTAGATTATGGTTTTATTTTATCTTGTGTGATAATGGAATCTTCAGCTAAGAGTATAATCCTGGTCTGTGCTCAGTAAATCTCCTCATTGCAGAGTTCGTGTCCCTCATTTTAAAGACATGAGTTCAGTAGTAGCTTTAAATTAACCTAGAGTTCTTTCTAGCGCTGTTACGAAATCAAGGCAACGGGTCAGCTCAAATAACTGACGAACTTTGGCTTAAATTGTGTACATATTTATGTGATTGATTAATTCTGACAAATTTGACTGTGTGATTTGTTCTTTTTTGTTCCTCTTGGTAGGATTACACCCTTCTAAGACTAAACTAGAACTACAAAAGCATCTAACAACACTAAATAACCAGGAGCAGGCCTCTGTTTTTGAAGAGGTTAAGGTAAGCTCTTTGTTTCCTGCAAGATTTTAAAGCAATTGATGTTTTTTGCTAACATCAGTGTGAAACACCAAAGTTATTTTTTTTTTTTGTGAATTATTCATTATCTTTATTTCATACACTGTTAATCACCTTATGCTTTAATTTCAGTATCATTATTTTTCTAGAGCTGTTAAAAGCTTGTCTTTTGATGAAAATCACTTATTTTACTAATTTTTATTCCCCTGATAATACTTGTTTTCCATGAAAATGTTGACTTCTCACAGAGTAAAACTGCACACATTTTTTTGTGGATGAAGGCAGTAACTTGTTCTGAAAGAACATTTAACTGTTGTTTGACTAAAAAAAAGTACTGTAACATTCCCAGATCAGAAAATTTCCCGCCTAAATTGTGTCCTAGATCTTAATATTTATCAAACTAACTAAAATGTTTAACTTTCTATCTTCTGAATGAAATCCATTTTAGCATAGAGGAAGGCATAGCTGGATTTAAGGCAGATGATGAACATTGTAGGAAATGTCGTTGGGCTTGGCACACTATTGAAGATAGGGAAATTTCAGACTTTTTTAAAAATAATGTTTCCTTCCTCTCTTGAGTCATTTCAGTCTCTTTGTGTGTTTCCATGTGGCAGTTTATCATCCAGTACCAAATTTGGAAGTTACTCTGTGGGAGTGATTCCGTGAGCTAAGTAATTTCTTGGTATACAGCAGCTAGCTGGCACTGTTGCCTTTTAGTATTGTGCACCCATTTTAACAGTCTGAAGCTTCTAGTAGTCACAGGAAACTGTTAATTGCTTCTGGTGAGACTCTGCAAACAATTACCTTGGTAAAACCAAGGGTGAAGGACAGGTCTCCTACCTTCAGCTGATTTTTTTGAGTTTGACTGCCTGAAATTTTACTTCTCGCATTCTTATAGCTGCATATGTTGAAATCATGATTTGCATTTTTAAGTAACTGTCTTTCTAAGGATATTTTTATTAATCTGATGTGCTACCCTGGCATTAGCTAATTCATATTGTATCCTCTGCATTACATCAATAGGCTTCAAACAGCATATGCTTTTCAAAAGTTAGGTTTCTGAGATTAAATTCTATCATAAATTGATTTAAAAATGTTCTCTTTTAGTAATTCAGATCTAAATAGAATGCAGCAGAGACAAATACATTCACCCTGTACACTAATTTTTAACATACCTGTGTCATTTCCCAAAAATGAAATGTCCAAGTGAGAAGGATTTCTAGGAAAAGGATTGTGCATCATAACTGCAAGACAGTACTTCATGTGTGCTACAAACTCAGAACTACAGTGTTTTAGTTTTCTTTACATCAAAAGCAGATTGTGAAAAAAAATATTTTTTTTAAGTCTTTATTTGCTTGTGACAATTTGATACCTCTACAGTCGTCCTTTATCTTTCGTGTAAATTCTGTGAGGTATGAAGTGAGGTCAAGTGTTTCCCTGGTTGTGTTGCTGCCTTACCTGGGACACTGCTGTCCTCTGGTGGCCTGGAGTAGTAGCATTAACCAAGTTAAACTTGTTCTTATATTAACAAGGTATTGACAGTGACAAAATGAGAAGAGTAAATATTTGCTAACCATTATACAATGTATAATTATCGTGCTTGTGATGTTTTCAATTAAAGAAATTAAGACCAAGAAATGATCAAAAAGAGAATGAGTTGGTTATCTCTGTTTTGAGAAACATGTATGAAGAAAAACAGAAGGACCATGTTCATGTTGGAGAAGCAAAACAGGTTAGTAATCATTCAGTTTTAATTCATGTAAGAAGGATCCAGGAAAAATCTTCCACTCCATTTTTATATCTTCCCAAAGGCAAATTTCAGTCACTGGCATTTTGGAACTTCAAACTGTAGGCAATGGTGAACACGGATTTTGCTTGTGATTCACAGGCTGTTGTCATGAGCCAAAACAGGCATATCTCAGATTTTGAGGTAGCTGGTACAGTCTGATTTTCAGGCCTAGGAGACAGAGATGCAAGCAAGGTAGACGACTATTTTGGTTGTTTCTTTTCTCTCACTACAATGAAAATTCAGTGTATGTGAGAGAATATATGATGAATTTGTAATTGTTTTTAGTTGATCTGTGGCATTTGCCATCCTGCTGTCTGTGTGAGTCAGTGTCCTGACAACACATTGCATTTGATCCTTGATGAAGAATATTGCATTTACTCAAGAGCTGGAAGTTATATCTTGCATCCAAACCACCATTTGAAGTGGCCTCAAGGACGAGTAGCTGAGGAGGATTGCTGCAGTAATAGCAGAGACCATCAACCATTTCCAAAGAGCTGAGCTACCTTTCATTCTGTATCAGATTACGTCAGTGCTTTGTAACTGGCTATATATACAGCACGGTTAGGATTTTTCAAAAGGGATTAATGATTTTGGATGCTTTGGTTTGTGACTGACTAACTTGAGACACCTTAAGGAGATCTGTATTTAAAAGAGGATCAGCATTCATTCTCCATGAACTTTCAGTTCCCATTATTTGACCCTTTTAAAAATCTTGGTTGTCCCACCATTGCTGGTCAGTAATTTCATTGTGATGACTGCTGATGGCCATTTGTGATGTAAACTAGCAAATGAATATATGGAGAGTAATTAGACCCGTGAAGAAATCAGGGTAATAGCAGCAAGTCTTCATTTACTATTTGTTCGCTTTGTTAATCTTTTATCCTTTTATGCCTTACTGGCTAATTACTGACCTCCCTGAGAAAGCAGGAAGAAAACGGCGTATTTCATTCTCTGATTTCTTGTCTTGGACATCTCACCAGAAATTATGTTTTTAAGAAAAAAGCATTGTAGTTATGGCAGGAAGAAACGTTGCCTGCGGTCCTCTATCATGATACCTGAAATATTTTTATTTGGTCTAATGCCAGCTGATTATCAAATAGTTGTCAGTCATGAATGGATTGGAAATAGGGATATGCAAAGCAGGGTAACTTCTTAATATGTCTTCAGTGTGATTTGAAAATTCCTAAGGCCTGTTGCAGTGTGTTTGCTCAGTTCCTGGAACCAAAATTGCTTAAGCTGACACTTGCAAAGATGCCAGTGCTCTAAGAACCGAGTTGACTTACCCTCAGTCCATCATTTGTCTTAGCATAACATTTTATATTTACTCTGATAATTTATCTCCAGAGCTGTGTAATAGCAAATACCTTTGAACATATACTCTGTCAGTGTTATTTGTCTCAGCAATCATTAACTCATGACATCCTGATGTCTCTCTTCCCTTCTTTTCTGCATAGATATTAACGTCCATGCTTTTCATTACTTTTTTTTTTAAATTAATATTTAAATCAGGGGAAGAAAAAATTAAATGTGATATTAGTACATGGATCTTATTTAACAAAAATTACCTTCAAAGTAAGTGTCTTTTCATAAGAACGTAATAGCAGGCAGCATTGGATTTGCCCTTTGAGGATAAGATGAGTGAACATAAAAAGAAAATACAAAAGTCTGTAACATTGTCGTACTGGAAATGGGATAGTTCAAAATTATATCTAGACTATTTTTGGTGATGATGTGCTATTCAGCTGCCCATGTACTAATAGTTACATAGATCAAGTGTTCAGATATCTGAAATTAGGGCCAGGTAGAGAGGGCTATGGTGCCTGGCAGCCTCAAGATGAACCCCCAAAAAGAGCACTGAAAACTGTAATCTCATTTCTACTGCAGGTGTTAGGTTTGGATGGTAATGTTTGCATCATAGTATCATTTTTGTGTTCACTACACTAGTCTTCACAAGCACTAAAAATGGACTGAAATACTTATTTGAAAAACGAAACTCTCAACAGACTGTTAGCTTTAAAGTTAAAGTGTTTCTACTGGTGAAATATATAGAAGAGTTAGATTGTAAAACACCTTCCTGGCCCTTAGAAAGCTTTGTTTTAATGTAATGGGGACACTTGAGAGTTCTTGTTAATTATGAGTTTTATCAATTTTCATTAATTTCTTGGTTGAAGGGAAGTAAATCCATGAGAAATCTCTAATCTGTTACACTTAAACATTTAGAATTTGTGCAAATGTGCTTTGGCATTAAAGAAGATTTGTCAACACAGCCATAAATCCCTGTCAAAACAGCAATTCTTCTGAAGCATGCTACTACGCTTCACGTTTCCTTTAAGAGATTTCCTGGTCTTATGTTAGGATAGTTTGTTAAATGTCACTATAAGTATCAGTCGAGAAAAAGGCATGAAAAGTCAATGACACCAGGAGAAAGTATTGATTCAGGTTACAGAAGTCTTTAGACTGATCACCAAGATTTTGCTTTGTACCGCTGAGTATTTAACATCTATGTTTTAACCACTTGCAGACTTCACAACCTCCTGCTGAGAATGCTGTAAATGAGGTGCCCAGCAGTGCTCCGAGATTCAGATTAGATATGTTAAAGAACAAAGCAAAAAGGTCTCTGACAGAATCATTTGAAAGTATTTTATCACGTGTAAGTATCTTCATGATTTTTGCCTTTGAATGTAATTTCATTGTTTTACTTATTGGAATGATAGAAGGATAACAAATATGACTTTTCCAGGTTGTAGCCAAGTGGTTTTTAAAGGCAAAATGACAAAAATATTTCAGTGTATGCGTTAGAAGGAGACAAAACAAAGCAACGTTTTGGTAGGGAGAATACCAAGTCCTGAAAGAAGTGAACTAATTGCTAGATAAGAAATAGCGTATATAGGCATCTGAAAAAATTAGTATGAATTTGAGCATGAGAACTTATGAAAAGCAACCATTATTTTATTTCTCTTTCAGATTTAGAAAATCAAAAAAGTAATTGTAATTGTTCACTTCTCTCTATGAGGAAGGAAATGATTAGGGAACTAAGCATTCCTAACGTGATAGTATTTATTAGTGACACAGAACTAATGAATAATGGGGCATCTGAACTTTGAAACGCTAGAGATTATTTCAAGGCGAGGAGTGTAAAGAACTTAAGAAGGCACTAAGAATATGAAGGCATTTATGCAATATCACATCAGGTAAAATTCTTTGTAAACAGTGTCTGGCAATACCTATTAGTGGCAAATGCTTGAGCTCCTATGTGATAGTGATCTCTGAAAAAACATACTGGGAAAATATTTATCATGAACAGATGACTGAAAATATCTGCTGAAAATATACATCAGAGGTTAAGAAAACAAATCAGATGTCAAGTCTAAGCACTACTTAAACCTACAGCGTGTCTTCTCATGCAAATATTCTTTGGTTTGCACCTCATGGAAAAAGTGAAAGGAAAATAATAGGAAACTTGGAAAGATTTCTGCTTGAAAAAGTATTAAAAAAATCAGACCTTCTCCCAAAAAGAGAGAGAGTTGTAACAGAATGCCACAGAACAAATTTTAAGGAACAAAAACTGGGCATTCTCATTTCTCATCCGCAAAGAGTTAAGTTGATGCAAGATCTAGTACAGTTTATTGGCTCATAGACGTGCAACTTGCCGTGACAAAACTAGGCTTTCAAAGCTTATTTCAGACGTCATATCTTATCTAATATGTCATCATATCATATCTAATCTGGTCCCATGAAACGAATGATGGTAAAAGCATGATCTCCCTGTTATAATCATGCTTATAGAGAGGATTTTTATTTTAATATCTCTGCTTGTTACTTCCCAGCCAGCATTTCTGGAGTTCAGCCCCATAAAATGCTGCTGTGGGTGTGTTTGGGATGTGAAATATAACGTTAGTGTTTTTACACTAACCATAGTAGTTACTGTTCTAATTTTTGCCAGTTTGTCCTGACTGGCATAAGCTGTCTTCACGTAAGCACAGCTGTATATTGGTTGCATTTTCACTGTCATGGCTGTTTTGATGGAAGTTCTTGATTTTGATGAGATCTGAGGCAAAACGTTTTGTCTGATCTTCAAGGAGAGAATAGTCACTACTGTGAATAATGATAATGTTTTATATTTTACCTGGAATAGCAGTTCAAAGAGAACATAAGCCTTAAACTCAGAATACAAAAAAATGATCCTATTTAAGGTTAAGAAGGTACAAGTTCCATAGTTGTTTTAGCACATAAGAATCCATCAGTAGGTTTCTTGATATTTCTCTTGGTTACATAAAAACATCAGTGGAACAAAGTAAAAGTATACAAAAATGTTGTTGAACAGATTATACAAAAATATTTATCCTTTCCGATTTGTAGGCATTGAAATAATAATACCAGAAATTATGTTTTGCTATGTGTTAAATTTATGTGATTTTAAGTCTTTGGTAATAGACAGCCTTTTTGTTTCTGTTTCTTCGTAAGAAGTACCTAGTGTGAAAATTTCCTGTTTGGAATACAGAAGGTACTTTAACAGTAGTTGGTAGTACACGTGTGCAATATGTGATTATGTACATATCATGGAAAGCACATCATTGCCCATGAGAGTTCCTTAATTCCACGAGATCCTTTAAAATGTCAGTGACTGTTCTGAATTAAGCCACTCTTTCTCACAGGGGAAAAGGCTATTCTTAGGCATTTCAGGAAACTGAAAATTACAGATTCTGACTGTGTTACACAAATCTCTTTTCGATATGCCCCACATTTTATAATTTTAACTGCTGGTGTGCTTTATCTCCGCAGGGCAGTAAAGCCAGAGGTCCACTGGACAGTTCTGGTGCTGTGGATTTGGACAGCTCCATGTCCAGTAACTTAAGCAGCACAAGTAAAGTAAGTAAAGCCTGGAGTGAATGTACATATTGAGAAACTTCAGATAATATTAAACAACTAGTCAGATGGGAAGGATGGTTACCAATTGCTCGTATAACTGTTCTGTTCTAACATCTTGCATTTTGTTTTGATTATTTGTTGGGAGTAGACAAGTTAACCGATTGTGCGTGAAGAGAAATAAACCCCAGAACAGCTGAACAGTATGAAAAGACAGTATCACAGAGCAGGAGGGAGTAGGTATGTCCTGCTGCCACTTGCTGATATATAGGGTGTGTCTTTATTCCTGTGCTGAGTCCCTCTGAGGGTGACAGGACTGCATTCGTTGCAGGCAGCCTCTGGGATTCGCCACTGTCTTTCCTTCCTACAT